ACCCCGTGTGATCGCCGGAAAATGTAAATTAAATACACAAATATTTTTTATTGATTGTGAGAACTTCGAAAAAAAATCTTATCTTGACTGTAACTAATTTTGAACAAATTATCATAATTATTATTGATATTAGCTAATTATTTACTTTTTATTATTTTTTTTTTGATGATTTATGATATATGGCGAACAACATGATAATACCGTGCCGTGAGGAGGGGCTCATATAATGCCAACATTTTTTTCTGTTAATAATTGTAAATAAATTTCCAATAAATTTTTTTTAAAGTAAAATTTATTAAATGATAAAAAATTAAAACCATTTTACTTTCATAAATTGAATAATTAAATTGTTAATATTATTATTAAATCACTTTCACGAGATTTTTATTCCAATAAAAATTAATTCAATAATTAATTAATACATTAACATTTTTTAAATGTCAAGAAACTTAATTCAATCAGTGTATAATATAAATATGTCAAAGAAATAAAGTGGATGAGCTTAGTTAGGAACGAATTCTTCTCATTTAGCTCTAAGAAAGCCATTTTAAATGCATAAATCCTCGTTATAATGTGTATATGAAGATTAAGCTAGAACTAGCCAGAAGCATTTATAAAGGTGAGAGTCTGGCCAATGCTTATGCCGGAAATATCGCTGAGTGTGTAAAAGAAAGGGGCCTTCGTCATAATAGGTAGATGAAGATCAAGCTAAAACCAACCAAAAGCAATTATAAAAGCGAGAGTGTGGAATGCTGGAGATATGACTGAGTATATAAACAAAGAGGCTCCCAAAAACTTAAGTCCAGTTGTGGTTAAGCCTGGACATAGACACAACTGGTGTTCTTTCTTCGAGAGCTGGTAGACACGCATTGCAGGAGCTTGGGTAGACCGAGCTGATTTATGCTGATTTATAGGTCAGCATAAGTTCTTCGAATTCTTTTGTAATTAGTAAATCTGGGGTAACTTTTTTATCTAGATATACATTTAGTGCAGTTTTCATTTTTGATTCGTAAATCTCGTGCGAGATGTATAACATTTAACATTTATAAAACTCAAGATATTTTGATAGAGTAACAAGTTTATCCTGAAATTAACAGTTATTTTGTATGACTTGACTAAAAAAATGTGATTCGATTAATAAATGTATTCATGAAAAATATAATTATCGATTAACACAACCAAAAAAAATGGCAGATTACTCTAAAAACATTTGATTGGGCAACAATATTTGACAGATTAAGAGTAAATCTAGATTGACTTCAGATTCACCAATCGAAAATATTTTGAACTGAAATTTAGTTAAAATCTGGTTAAATTAATTCAATTATTTTTCTAAGTGTATAAGCTTTTCCAGTAAATATAATCAGCAATGAAAGACTTATTGTGCTTAGTAAAGTTTTGATTCAATGGGATAGAACACTAAATCCAAATGTAGGAAATGCTATTAGTTTTGATAAGTTGAGCATATTTAAATAAATTTATAAATTCGTAATTGCTATAAATTTGATTCCATTCTATTTTGCAGTCCATTTAGATGAACCGGTTAACCTTTTAATGGATAAATATCTAGATATCTACTCTACTCTGTGCCTTTTATTAACATAGACTCTGACTTAGTTTATGTCGAAATTGCTGGGTAAACATATCACTGAAATATTTTCTGTTGGGTAAAAGCAGGGTGAAGTTTGAAAACGACATGTCACCAACATTACATATAATCCTGCTGTTCTGTAACACCTCTAACTTCAGAAGTATTTCTAACAACTGGGAAAAAAACTGGGTATATTTTCTAAAAATAACTTACTACTTATTAATGGCAAGTAATAGAAATATCTGGAAACTCTATGAGGAAACCCAAAGACTACAGATATGAATATCAATAAAATAGTATTGAATATCCTTATAAACAAATAAATAAATTTTAAATTTCTATCAACTAAATAAAATTTCATAAAGGAAACTTAATTATTTGTGAAATCATATCTCTCCAGAAAAGTTACGAAAAATATTTAAATATGGGTAAAAATGCCATATATGAATTGATATTATAGATGTCAAATTTGAGTGAATACAAGTGAATTGTAATAATTTACATATAATCCTAAAATTATATATTTAAATAATAGTACTAAACGAGAAGTATTCATCATCACTAATATAAAAGCGATCAGCATGTACATATACGATATATAAATTCTATATACATTATATCCATACCCCCAATATGGGTATATATCATTCCAATATGTACTGCGGACCGAAAAATAATATTCAATGTATATCGGTGCCAATATCTTTCCAAAAAATAATAATATGAATCAATACGAAAAAAATTATTTTACGGATCGGTTGTGGTAATGGCACGGAACAGTACCGCAGAGGTCGTTGAAAAACTCAGTTTTATGTGGGATATATATTATACATATAGAATGTAGAATATAGCTGACATATTATTGTTTTGGTTTAGATATAAGTTTTTTTTTTGTTGTTTTCAATATTATATCACCAACTGTGCATATTGTTGTAAATCTCTTAGAAATAATCTCAAACAAAATCTTAGTCATTTAAGTCAATTTCACGATTTATTTCATTCTAATATGAGTTTATAATTTAATTAAAGTTATTTATTTACTTTTTTTCACTGTTGTTGTATTTTAAAAACAACTTTATTTGTAGATAAATACTTCATATTATGAGCTCGAGTACTGATAAGATACGAGTTGAAATTACGTAGCTCGTTAATCTTCTTGGACAATAAAGTATCAATATCTGATTTACGTAGTCTTTAGGTATTTAAACACTTGTTAGGAATCAATTTGTTTGAATCCAAGATTAAAAGTTTTATGTTACAAATTTTTTTTATTTAAATTTAATTTTTTCTTATCTACAATGGACTTTAAATGAGTGAAAAGTTTGCTTGCGACGATATCTGAGATTACTAATACATGATTTGGGAGAAAATTAATTCATCACAAGTGTTTTGACAACTGAGAAACAAAATGAAGGGATTAAAATCTTATTCATATAATAATTGTCTAATATCTTTTATCTTTTGTCTTAACTGTTTTATATAAAATCCTAAGGCTATTTTCAAAATAGAAAAATTGTATTGACAATAAATATTAACCATTTTAAATTACAATTGATTATATGTTGGGGTAGCAGAAGAAGGGGCAGACCTGCTCACACCTGGAGAAGACAAACCGACATGGAAATGTCATACATGCGGAAAGGCTGGGGAGAGTTGAAGCTATTGGCCACCAATCGTACCGAGTGGAAGTTATTTGTATGCTCCTCCTAGGAGTTTAAGGATTAAATATATATATATATATACATTGTGACCGAAAGGTTTTCGGAGGTTCTCATTTAAAATTCGCGCGCTGTATATTTTTCGATATTTTAAGTTTATGTAGTTTTGGGCACTGTCTTAATTACTAGCCAAAATGAGCGCGATCTGTCGGACAGTTCGTTTACGGCAGCTGTTGAAACCAGTTCACCTCAGTAGTGCGTTGCGAAAAAAACAATGGAAAAAAATATTGAACAAAGAGTTTGCATCAAATTTTGTTTTTCGAACGAAATTTCGTGTGCAGAATCGTTGCGAATGCTACAAAAGGCTTATGGGGAATCAGTTTTATCGAAAACTCAAGTTTATGAGTGGTACAAAGCCTTTCAGGACTGTCGTACGACCGTCGAAGACATGCCGCGTTCTGGACGACCTTCGACCTCTACCACCGACGAAAACATTGAAAAGGCAAAGGAAATCGTGTTCAAAAATCCTCATGTGAGTGTTAGAGAGATAGCACGAGAGCTAGGCATCGGTCGTGAGATGGCTCGTTTGATTTTGGTGGACAATTTGTGTATGCGACGTGTCAACGCCCGGCTTGTTCCGATTCACCTCAATTTGTTCAACATTATCAACGATTTTAAGGCCAAACATTCAATAAATACCATCGAACAGCCACCGTATTCACCTGATCTTGCACCGTGTGACTTTTTCCTGTTTCCCAACCTCAAATTACCACTCAGAGGAACGCGTTTTGAATCCATAGAAGACGTAAAACAGAATTCGCAGAGGGAACTCAAAGCCATACCGGAAAGCGCCTATAAAAAATGTTTTGATGATTGGAGGAAACGTTGGCATTTGTGTATCGCTTCTTAATGGAGCATATTTTGAAGGAGATAAAATAAATATTGATGAAGATTAAGAATTTTGCGTTTTATTTATTTATGACCGGAAACTTTTCGGTCACAATGTATATACATATGTAGGGGTATTTGGAATTGTCTTAGTTCTAAACGGGATACTATCACTATATGCTTTCATGTTGACTCTCTAATCTCTGCATGTTGGTTATCTTCTTTTAATAGCCAACGTAGGTTGACAAGAGCTAACGCTATTAACCCTTGGGTAAGCAATCATCACTAAAAAAAATTCGTACTATGCTTCGGCAACCTGTTTGTCTTGCAAGCAATATTTACCCTTTCTTATTAGTACGGTCATCCTCAGGTGAAATGCTTTGCTATCAATTCAATCCCAGAATTTAAAAGTACTGCGGATTTCTGGTCATAAAGGCATAGATTTGGTTATGTGAAATGCAGGGAGGAGCGAATCTTGCTTAATTAGCTAAAAAGCAGTTTTAATCTCGAACGGTGGGTAGGAGAATGATCATGCCAGAAGTAACCGGAAGCATTGATAAATGTGAGAATCTTTGCCAATTTCAGTGCTGAAAATATCATCATATCTGGACTTGAAATATTCTATTATTCAAATATTAACTATGGAATATTAATACTAATACAAAGTACTAAAGAACTAAAAAATTCTTATAAACTTCGACAATTCGTTAGATAGTGTCTAAAACAAATTTTATTTAAATATAGACATATAAATTTTGAATATACCATTGGAATATATTATTTTAATACATATACCTATATAAAAATAAATAATTTCCTGAATCCACTTTTATTAAATTATATATCATTTATTTTATTTGTAGCAAGAAGCCATCCAACCGAGTGCCTTAAAAAAAGCGATCACCTTTAGACGGAGATCTTCCGCTGCATCAACTTGCTCCTTTAGCTCAGGTAATTGAAAAGTATAATATATAATATAACTTATGTTAGATTAAACTTATTTACATTAAAATAAAGCTAAAGTAAATATGTATTAGTTTAAAATTAATAAAAAACATGCATTTTAAATTATATCACAAGTTAATATCAGTGGCAGATTGTTTTATATAAAACTGGCTCACTGAGGATTTAATAAGTATTGGGCTATATCAAAAATCTAACAACTTGATGTTTCTACACAATAATTAATGTTTCAATTAGACAGATATAACTGAAAACATTCTTGACTTAAAGTACATTGTCGGATAATGTTCTATAAAAGAGCAAAACTTGTTGCCAAAATAGTTCTATAAGTAAATCTATTGTGATACCATATTTTTGATACATATTATATCTGGTAATGAGATATGGGTATTGTGGTTTATACTTAAGTAAATCAACATCGTAACAAGCTCTCACCCGATGAATATCATTGATGAATCATTTTACATCAGATGATGAATCATCTGATGGAGGCCAAGGTTCATACTGGACTGTAGTGCCAAATAAGAAGAAGAAGATGAATCATCAGATGGGGGATTTTGCGAATCTTTTTCTTCCAACACTTAAAATTGCACTCCTGGAGATATGGTTTACAACTATTATAGACATGAAACTAAAATTATAGAAGACGCTGAAGGGCATATTGAGAATGCGTCTAATGTTTCCTTAATTGCAAAAATTTTTGGTAGTTTTTGGAGTTCTACCAAAAAGGAAGGTGAAAAGAAAATATTGATGAACTAATAAAAGTTTTATATTTTAATTAACAAGTTTGATTATATTTCTGCAGGACATTTATTCAATTGTATTTATAATTTTTGAGCGAAGTAAGTCATTTAATTTTTTTAAAAGAAAGGTTCTTAAAAAATATTGATTTTTTTATATAAATTATTTTTTATATACAATTAATAGCTACGATTTTTTTTAACAAGGTTTTACAAAGTAGCGAATACAAATTAATAATAATGAACAATTCCTCTTCGGTTGTTAAAAATGGTAAGGAATAATTCCTTAATATCAATCGTAACTCTTATTTACTATTTATATTAATATTGTTTTAAAATATGAGTTACTTCTGTTTAACTCTTTATGATTGGTCACTCAGTGTTGTATTGAATTCTGACTGATGAAGAACATTCTTCCTAGAGTTTGGATCAAAAAACTTCCAGCTGCGATTGAAGATACGGGTGGTTCATTTTAGACATTTCCTGAACTATCCTCTGGATAGTTGCAATACCGACGTTGAAATCGTCAATCTAAATGACAGTAATAAGTCCCACTTTTTGGATATCAACGTTTTGCTTTCAATCAGTAGGTGAAATAGTCTTAGCAATCAATCACTTAGAATTGATAAAATATCTATATAATAGATGTCACAAAATAGTAAAAGTGTGTAATAGCATTAACTCAAACCACAACAACAACAATACATAATAGATATCACAATGCAGATCCAGAAGTTGTTGAAGATATCCGACTTCTGATTTTTCGTGAGTTGTGAAAGGAATGACTTTACCCTGAACAGTAGAGTTTAGGCATTTTCGTAAAGATTTTTTAAAATGGAACGTATCAAACTATAAGATTTACGAAACACCTATTCCAACAAAATTGGTCGGGTTGGGAATTGTGTTATCTAGAATCTTGGTGGTTATGGAGTAAATTCAGCATGAAGATCCCAATTGGCGGTAGACAATCTAACGTGATAGGACTCAACATGGTACAGTTCATAATTGAGCAACGTTATAAATACAGAACATCCGTCCATTTACTTTTCATTGATTTTCTATCTATTTTTCACGATTGAAGGTATTTTTAGGAATTGAAATGAGAATTTGAAGACGAGAGAGAGATCTTAATATCATAAAAGCAATGTGCGCTAAGCTCCTATTAGATTGCTTTGCAGAAAATAGTTTCCTAAAATTAGAAGCTTTAAGCAAATATACCAAGACCGCTAGCTTGTATACAATCGTCAAAGCCAAAAGAAACCAAAGTTTATCACCGATGATATCAACATAGAATGAATATAATCTATAGTCTACGAAAACAGTATAAAAAGTACAATTTAAGTAATGAGTCCGCCAGGAAATCACTTAGAACACCACTTAGAACACCCAAAACAAACAATCTGGACATATTGCTGACATCATGCAAAATGTCACTGAGTTCTTTTTGGGCAGAACTTTTTAATAAAAGATGGGAAGACTCGATGATATGATGGCATCTATATGTAATTTGGTCACGTTCCATAATATTCTCAAATTGTGATTTGTGTGGATTTTGAACTATTTATAACTTTTATTATGGAGTACAGGGCTTTAAAGTAGGAAGGTTTAACATGAAACCCCATAGAATATATATTTGTTGTTTTGTTATTGCAATTAATAAAAAAGTCTTACAGTCTCCGACCAAGATATCTCCCGAGACATCAGAATCGCGCCATCTTAATTTTTGAATATTATTGTTAGAGGTTTATAATTAAATGTTCCATATGTTCTGGTTATATCTAGGAAACTTTGGATATAATATATATATATATGAACTGTTTTACATAAGAATTTAAAAAAAATTTATATATAAATAATATTAAAAAATTCATTTAATTTTATCTTCATTATTTTAAGCATGCTTTACGGCAACCTCAGATGATGAGGATGTCTCGCCTCGTGAGAAGAAGCAACGGAATAGCAGCGGAAATTCTGACTTTTGTGTTAAGAATGTGGAGAGCCAGCACACTTTTGGAAGACGTGAAATCGATATAGCTGAGCAGGAAATGCCTGGCATAATGGCTTTGCGAAAACGCGCATCTGAAGATAAGCCATTGAGACAAGCGAAAATAGTCGGATGTACTCACATTAACGCACAAACCGCGGTCTTAATTGAAACCTTGATTGAGTTGGGCGCTGAAGTTCGGTGGGCGGCCTGTAATATTTATTCCACTCAAGTAAATAAAATAAATTAATTTAAATCATAACGGACTAATTAGTGAATTAATTTAAAACATTTTTAGAATGCAGTGGCTGCTGCTTTAGCTGAATCTAATGTACCAATATTTGCTTGGCGTGGAGAAACTGAAGAGGAGTTCTGGTGGTGCCTTGATAAATGTGTTAATATTGATGGTTGGCAACCAAATTTGATACTAGACAACGGAGGTGATGCAACGCATTTAATGTGGAAAAAGTATACGGATGCATTTAGAGGAATAAAAGGAATTGTTGAGGAGAGTGTCACTGGAGTACATCGCTTGTACCAACTTTCAAAAACTGGGAAACTCACAGTGCCTGCGATTAATGTCAATGATTCTGTGACCAGAACGAAATTCGATAATTTCTACAGTTGCAAGGAATCAATTTTAGATAGGTATGCGATATTATTGAATATGATTTGTGGTTCTATATTATATTATGTATTATCAATGCAATTTTATTTCTTAGTATCAAACGATCGACTGATATCATGTTTGGTGGTAAGCAAGTATTGATTTGCGGCTACGGTGAAGTAGGTAAGGGATGTGCAAATGCCTTCAAGGGTCAGGGATGCGTTGTTTATGTGGCAGAAATCGATCCTATATGTGCATTGCAAGCTTGGTAAGTTTGATTATTTATTAATTATTACTTTAGTCATATTTAATTATAATTACCATAATTGAGTTAAGAGTATTTAAGTAGCATTAAAAATATTCTGATAAGACCTTAGTTTGCTAAGGTTCTTAGAGAAAATTTTTATAAGAGAGATATTAATATGTATTTTTATTGAATATTGCAGTATGGATGGTTTTAGAGTAGTTAAACTGAATGAGGTAATACGCACGGTTGATATTGTTGTTACGGCAACTGGTAACAAGAATGTAGTGGTACGAGAGCATATGGATCGCATGAAAAATGGTTGCATCGTTTGTAATATGGGTCATTCCAATATGGAAATTGATATTGTAAGTCTTTTACTGTTTCTATAAATCATATAATTGGAAGTAATATTTTTTATACTCATAGAATAGCATACATACACCAGAATTGACTTGGGAACATGTACGCTCCCAAGTTGATCATGTTATCTGGCCCGATGGAAAAATGATTATTTTATTAGCAGAAGGTCGTTTGGCAAACTTATCTTGCTCAGTGATACCATCATTTGTAGTGTCGGTGGCTGCTGCTACACAAGCTCTAGCTCTCATTGAACTCTACAATGCACCCCAGGGACGCTATAAATATGATGTCTATCTACTACCAAAGAAAATGGGTAAGAAGCTGAAATTATTTATATGTATTGGGGTGGCTCTCAGTTTTTAGCTAAAATTTTTTTTAAATCGCATTGGTTACATATTATAGATTTCTAGTACCAAAGTGGAAAGGCAAAAAATGTTGAAACAATCTCAATTTTTAAATCAATTTTTTTTTAAGACATGCTGCAACGTTTTTAAAAGTAGGAAACTTAGGTACAGTTTTCACCTGAAAAGAGCAAAAACTATTGACAATAAAAATAATAATCGAAGATAACATTAATGCAGTCATTTTTTTTAAAGTAATTTTTCGCAAATCTGGAAACCTGCAGTTTGGGTAATAATTCCAAAACGGGGAAAAGACTACTTTTTGCCTAAAAATTGGAGATCTATAAGTTTGCTGCCTGATATGTATAAAAAAAAGAAAAAATAATATTGGCACTATTCAAATATATAGTAATGGGTAATAATATTATTTCCAAAGAATAGTTGGGAAGAAATAGTTCAAGAAAATCTTTCCTCTCAGTGAAGTGAACTCTTCTGGAATAGTCTTGTTTGGTATCCGTAAAGCGTTTGATAAAGTTTGTTGTATCGGATTATAATACTTTTAGCTAGCCTTTTATCAAATAGAAAGTTCTTGGTAAAAGTCAGAAACCGCTTTTCATCAAGAGAAGTTTCTCTAAAGGATATTAAAGGGGGTGTCCCTTAAGAATCATCATTGTCTCCATGATTCTATAGTTTATATACATCAAAATTTCCTTTGGAAAATCCCGGCATGCCTTAAAATCAAGTTTTATTCAAAAATTTTTCCTTATATTTTTGTTTTCTATTAAAGTACTAGATATAAATTATAGTATCAGAAAAAAAAATGTTTTTAGGGATTTTCGTATATAGACTCTTATTCATATTCGTATATATTAATATATTATTATATTTTAATAATATTTTATTGATTATTACTTACACTTAATCTAAAGAATATATTAACGTACATTTGTGTTAAGATATTTATTATTTTAAAAATATTATTATATTTAAATATTTTATTTTTTTTTTTTATTAGAAAAAAAATGTATTTATGTACAATTAAAGTATATAAAGGCATTTAACATATTTATTTAAATGTGTTTATATATTTTGTTATTTTATATATTATTTTCCATTTGAATAAAAAATTCTTTTCAATTATTTTTATGTACATTTATATATATTATTATATTTAAATAATATTTTACTATTTATTTTTTAATAGATGAATATGTTGCCATCTTGCATTTACCCACATTTGATGCACATCTTACCGAACTTACGGATGAACAGGCAAAATATCTTGGGTTAAATAAGTCTGGACCATTTAAACCCAATTATTATAGGTAAAACTCTTATATAAAATGTAAATTTTTTATTTAAATATTTATAATAATATTGTTTCTTCAACAGGTACTAAGCTATGTACGTTTCTGCTACTCCAGTATTCTTACTCTTAATTCTCTAAAACTGCTATAATAATTTAAACTAGAATTGTAAATTGATTTGTTAAAAATTGTTTAACTATGTTTATTTGTATATTTTATTATTCTAAATTCATAAATAAAACTTATTTATATAAACATTTTACATAAAGTTTTAATAAATGAAATCACAATGCATTATTGTATGGGCTACACATCATACTTAGTTTGGTACAAAATATTGCATACTTTTGTGCGAACTGAAAATATTCAAATAATTATTGTAGAGTTTCTATAATCATGAAATTAAACAGCAAGATGTGCAAAAGTTTTTATATGGATGAGTCTTTCTTATGTTCGAAATGATTCAACTACAAATACTCATCCATTATGTCGTTTTTTTATTTATTGTTCTTTTGTTGGTACAGAGTATATATATAATTATTTCTAATTTCTACTAAAAATATAGGTTAAGTTAGACCAACTCAAATAATATGGGTAGATTATATATTAATGCGTCCGGCTTTGGCGTGCAGAAGATATATGTATGCTCTTTAGGAAGATACTTCTTTGATAGTTTATCAGACTGTTCATCGGTGAAGACGAAAGACTTATTAAATTATTTAAATACAGCAAGAAGGACTTAGTCTTTACTCTTCTATACTAGGGTACTTCAATCGCTAATTGAGGTACTTGGAAGTTATCTAATGGCTTGCCACTGCAACCAACCAACTAACCATATGCCACTGCTTACTTAAGATGGGCTAGCCTATGGGCTAAGATAGGCTAGTAGACTTATGGAACCAACTTGAAGTATTTATAAAGAGAGGGATGATTCTATAGGGGGTTTTTTTTTAAATTACTATATAATTTTTTACGATTATGTAGAAATAGTAGAAATGCGTGTCTATATAAAAATGATATATATTAGATAAAATATATAAATCTGTGATTTCTGAAAAATAATATTTCGAATTTATTTGAACTTGAATACTGGATAAGCGCATTCGTTCCTTTTGTGCTAAAATTCAGAGCTAATATGTTATATATGTTATTAGATTAAACATATCTAATATCTCAAAAAACATATTTCGTAATTACTAAAGCTTGGCTAATTAATTCGAGAATTTATGTTAACATAACTAAACATAAGCATTCTTCTCACGTAAGAATATATGACCCCAAATATTTTTAATAGTGTCAGTAATACACGAATTTAATGTTATGTCTAGTTAAGTTTACCTAAATAAACCTTATAAGAGAAGAGGTCTACTGATTACTAAACAGAAAATCCAAATTGCGAACAGACCAAAAAACTATTGCTTTACCATAATCTACTAAAACCAATTTGGATGTTATTTAAGACAACTTAAATTTCATTTAGATCAGTTTTAATATAAAAACTTAAGATTAATTAAGTGTATTTTATATCTTCAGATCAACATCGTTTCAATAAAACATTATTTTGTAAAATTGTTAATTAACTTTTACAACAGATTAATAAAACTTCAAGTTACAAAGTACAAGTCAAGTACGGCTTTGTGTCAGTTGGGTAATTAACACCGACTCTGAGCTTCAAATTTGGCAGGACACAAGTTCAGCCTTTGATACAAATGTCATTTCAAACTCAACAGTTATTTTTTAAGAAGATTCAATAAAAACTAAAAGTAAAATAGAAAAAAAAAACAAAAAAATATTTACGAATAAAAATATAATTAAATATATATAATAATAGTTTGTAGTTTATATTTTTATTTAAATAGTTTATGAAATGTGAAGATTATTACAATATAGTAGAACACTCTTAAGTGGATACCGACAAGAAACAAAGTTTTCTGCTTAAAAGTGTATGCAGTTAATGGGAATATCCATTTCTTTACCATATTTCTTTACCAGAGCTTTTACGGTATCACTTTAGTTTCATTAATGTTATTTGCGACTTTGATCAATTGACTAATTCACGAATATATTTTCTTATATGTGTTCTGATATGTTTTTATCGACCTGATCGTGCTGTCATCCTGCAAAATTAGCGACTTAGCCAAGTTTATAGAATTGCCATGTGGATTCATCTTTACCTAAGGGGACAGTCGTGACTATACGCGTTGCTCACACGTTGACTTTTTGTCAACGCTAATCCTGTGGTACTACAACGGACCATTATTTGTGCTCAAGTGGGCTTTGGGCATAAGGCCGCCACTTCAACTTAACCTAACCTGATGAATATATCCTTTGACTTGAATATATTGAAGTCTACTTTAATACAATTATTGTAGTAACTTATTTAACAGCTTCCAGTAGTATAAAGCAGTAGTATGTAATTTGTTGTTGTTCACTGAAATGGACTATACCGTAAATCTCAGATCAAAATATTCTTACTCGACGCATTATGTTGTTTCAACCATACCACATGGTATGTTGGTTCTCATATCTTCTTTACCACTTGAGCTAAAATTTTTCTAACAAAATATTAAAATAGTTAATATGTGGTTAGAGCATATTTTTTTGGAGTATAAATAGTGGAGTCGAGATATTCTTAAAGTGCATGTAACCACAAAGCTAGATCGGAATACCATTTCTCACATGATTGTCTGTATAAAGGATATAGAAGACAACTCGAAGCGAAATCTAACATTTCTTATCAAATAAAATTTTCAGAATATAATATATATAGTTGATTTTATCGAACAGTAGTAAAATTATAACAACAAAAATTTTTATTATTATTTTTAATTATTTATAATATGAATTAATAATATATATATTATATAAAAATTTAGATAGAAGTAAATCCCTTCTGATTTGGAATGTGCTACTAATGCGAACAAATTTTTTTTAAAGTGTATTTAATACGCATTTCTTGAATTTTCCTTTCAATCGAATTTATTGGGATGGCGAGTAATAAAATTTTGTTATTTGGGAAATACATTTTCTTCTACGGTTTTATTGCCTTCGATGGAAAGTAGAGGAGCAGGAGCAGGAGCAGGAATAGAAACGAAATGAAACTGTGTTTATTTAGAAAAAGAAAATAACAACAGCACAAGTAAATCTAATAATAAAAGGCAATAAGAACATAACAGTAAAATTAATTCGCATCCTGACTAAGCACAAAATCCATTTAATGATAACTGGCGAAGGGAAATAAAGTGCCGTTTCCATCTGAGGATGCTGATAATCGAAAATGAAAAGAAGAAAAATATATATATATATATGTTTTTTTTTTGGTAAATAATTTATGATTGAAGAAACTCGCATTGCATGCTGAGAAGAGCAGACTTAGGTTGTTGGTCGTAAAGTGGAGGGTGCACTCAAGCTTTGGTAAAATTGGCGCTGGAACAGAACAGCGATAAGTTTTCAGAGTAGCCATAAAATTTTATGACCGAAAATGAAATTTTTCCATTTATTTCCAAATGGCGTGACTGTAACCAACCCTCGATTATGCAGCAGCACATGGAAAGATGATGACCAAATGGGATGTTTTCATCTTTCCACGGCTATAGATGTGGATTGCAGGGTTGAATAATGTGCGAGTGTGTTTATCTGATCGCTTGCAGCCATCTTGGCTCGATTCACTTGAAAGGTTTTCTTGCAAATATTGTAATTTTCAATTTTATGTTTCACATAAAAAAGTGATAAGAAATTTAATGAATAAATATTTACAAAATAGAAATTATGCAGTATTTGGTACAAA